ATAAAATATTAGATACCCTGTCTTCGGTAAAATTTTTGGTATTGAGCTTCATTTATGATATTTTGTGCACCTAATGCAGATGTTTGTGTTGTTATTGCTACTAGCCAAAGTTCATGCTGCTACTAGCACCTAGTTAAAAGTTCGTGCTGTTGAGGCCAATTTCGCCTAAATAATAAATTCAGGCTATCATTATTAAATATTTAGCTGATTTGGCAAACTTTAGGTACTAATCAAATGACATGACATTTATTTATTTATTTTTAAAGCAAAGTTTAGGAGTTTAGACAGTTAACATGGTACTCCATCTATTTTGTAATAATTGCAACACTAGGTGTTTAGGAATGTTAATATTTTTTTAAAAATAATTACTTCGTATTACTTTTTGATAATCAAATATATGTAATATTAATGATTGAAGTCAAATTGTTTCAAGTTTGTTAAAAACTATGAAGTAGGATAAACCATGCTTCCTCGTGATTGAAGCAATAAAAACAATTCAAGTTTGCTTTCACGAGGACAAATACGTGAAAGCAATAAAAGTTTGTTAAAAACTATGAAGTAGGATAAACCATGCTTCCTATGAACAACCCCTTGTGAATTTTCACCCTCTTTCCGTGTTTTTAGCTTATTATTGTGGTAAAGTGGCCAATAATGTGTTTTGTGTATGGTTTTTCAATTGTCTGTAAAACTAGCGTTTTAGCTGCTGCTCAACCAGTGTTTTTAGCCAAAAATGAAAGTTGAAGTCATTTCTACATTGGCAAAAGTCAAGTCATATTAGGCTAACAGCGTAAGGATCAAAGTGAAGGCATTAGCTAGATTTCTGATTCCTGTGCATTCACCTTTTTGCAGACCCCTTGGCTGGATAACCGCCATGTAGTATTTGGACATGTTATCGATGGGATGGATGTTGTTCGAAACCTTGAATCCACGGAAACAAGCAGATCAGACTGTCCTCGCAAGCCATGCAGAATTATCAACTGTGGAGAGCTTCCACTGGAGGCCTAATGGTTTTGTTAAGACCACCACTGAGTGATCGCGTCTACTAATTGAGTCTTTTATTTCCGAGCCTTCAATGTTTATTGGTTAGGCAATACACTGAAGCTCATTAATAAAGATTATATATATGGTGATTCATGCTTATTTCAGTCGCCTAATTTTGAAATGGGGCTGTGTTTTACTTTAAATTAGAACATAGAAAAGCCAGAATTTCTTCAATTCTTGCAGGAGTTTTTAATTACTTCATAGTTTCCACTTTCCACCATCCAACTTATAGCAAGGTCGAATCTTCTTAGTGGGCTGTGTTTGGACAACTAAGAAGATTATGGTCCATGGATCATGGGGGATTATTCGAAGAAAAAGAAAATTTTCAATTACAGGATATGGTGGGTCCTGTTTGTTCAGATTTTTTTACTAAGTGTTTAAAATTTGTGATTGTTCTGATTTTTTTACTAATATTCACAAGTATTGGCGTGGTGCATTGCGATTGTTAAGATTTTTTTTATTAAATGTTCAAAATTTGCGATGTTTAGATTTTTTTTCTAAATGTTCAAAATTTGTGATTGTTCAGATTTTTTATACTAAATGTTCAAATATAGGCGTGGTGCATTGCGATTGTTCAGATTATTTTTATTAAATGTTTAAATTTTGCGATATTCAGATTTTTTTTTTTACTAAATGTTCAAAATTTGCAATTGTTCAGATTTTTTTACTAAATGTTCAAAAGTATATGCGTGGTGCACTTATTTCTAGGTGTACCTTAAAATTTGCGTAGATGCCACAATTTGTGTTATTTTCCTTTATGGAGTAATAGTACTTTCGTCGTTTTATTTTTTAGTTGCATCAGTTTGACTAAATGTGTGTGAGCTTTCTAATTAAACAAGTGCAAATAAAGATGGACGGAAAAAGTATTATGGAGTTTTTATTTTTTATTTTTTGGTTTTGGATTTTGGGCAGGCGAAGCCAAACGAAAATTGTTGAGTGAGAAATTAGGGAGAGGAGAAATGGGGAGAATATATTATATCAAAAGATATTGTGAATATTGAAAGTATATATACCGTTAGTATTAGTATTAATATTAGTCTAGTACAATTAATCTCCCAAATAAAATTAGACCTACTTGTGTGTAGAATTTTCTTGGAAATGATGAAATTTCTACTCGTGTGAATTGTAAAATTTCCCTTTTTAATTGTTCGAGCTCATGTTTACTTTTGACATATTACTAAAGTTTTGACTTTCACACCTGTATCTAGTGGCGGAGCCGGGGTTTTAACAATGGTAGGGTACCGTCCATCGAGAAATCCTCTTATCAAGCCCCTAAAACCTGTCTCCTTAAACTTTTCAATTAAAAAATCAAGATACAATTACGTACCTCATAGCAATAATCGTGAAAGGATATTCTTAATATCAAGATTCAAATTTATTTAACAATCGTATTTGTCAAACGTCAATTACGAAGTATTCCAAAATCTATCAAAGGTTATCCCGACCTATTAAAGGCTTTGTCAAACCGTATTCCAAAATCGTATTTGTCAAACCTCAACTACTAGTCTACTACTATTACTACTCTAACTTTTATACGTGACTGACCACACCAGTTACTTGGTTAGTGTTATAGGTGTTCATTACTAAATAATATAAGGGTTACCGTGTCAGTGTTGTATGGGTTACTTTTTTTTTTTTATTGGAGTGTTATTCAATAAGTATAATAAGGGGTTACACTGATAGTGTTATAGGGGTTACTCCGTTTTTTTTACAAGCAGCCACAATGAAAACGCACTGTTGTTGTTGTTGTTGTTGTTGTTGTTGTTGTTGTTGTTGTTGTTGTTGTTGTTGTTGTTGTTGTTGTTGTTGTTGTTGTTGTTGTTGTTGTTGTTATTATTATTATTATTATTATTATCTCAAAAACAGACAAAGTCATACAACCTACAATAAATTAGTGGGAAGCCGAGATACAATCTGGGCCCCCACTCCTCTAATTATAGCAAAGCCTACCCTAGTGAAGATATGGGCTGTAGCACGAGCCCCAATGTCTTGCGTTGTCGAGAACCTCTGAACCCGTTTCAGCAACGCAACAACCTCCTTCTCTAATTCCCCAAGTGAAGAAAAGGAGAAGGGAATGAAACCATATCCAATCAGCTGACAACTAGCTTCATACTTCACCCGCTTCCGATGAGCCGCATCATCCACAACCCGTCCAGAAACAAAGTCAGATAGCCCTGTCTGTGTCAAAGGAGAAGAACCTATTAAGTCCACATAAACATCGCGACCACGATCCCAGGAATAAAGTAACACATCAGCAGAGCTGAGTGTCCCGTCATTCCCTCCAGATAACCCTATGTCAACCTCCTTTCTTGCTGAAATCCCAGATCTGTAGCAAATATCAACAAGGGTATCCCGGACAACATTATGCCGATGTTTAATACCCACAATACCAGCACACAACACCGCGTGATCACCGAAAATATCCCCAGTAAAAACCCGAGAACAAGCAGAGCACGACATCGAGATAGAGAGCAATGGAACACCCATCCTGTAGTATAACACACATCGGTAGGTCTTTGCGTTCATCGTCTGACCCAACCCAGAAATAGGAACTGTCCGAAGCCAAGCAGAGGTGTGATCTCCCTGCCGCGATTTCCACAATGCTGATTGCCGAGGAGACAAAGAAAAGGCGGATTCTGCAGAAGTGGTAACCTTTGTGAAATATATATCTGTCAATTTCTTCATGAGTTTAGGGGCAAAAATCTCACTAGGATTACTCATAATGTCAGACTCCACTATTCCATTAAACTGACTCAAAGCATCTCTAAAGGCTCGTCCCAGACCAATAATGCCAGCATGTCTTAAAAGCTGTGTCTGCAACCCAGTTGACTGTAACCGAGAAGCAAGAAAAGCATAATGATGAACATCACCTGCGGAATATACCCCAAGCCCTCCAAACGCAAATGGTAAGGTGGCAAGGCGCCATTGCCAATCACCAAACCCAGGCCCCGAAGCAGTAACAATACGCTCCAAAGAAGATCGAAGAGCCTTGTCGAATGTGCGCTGAGCCGTCTCAAAAGTACTAGGAGGACAAGTACGTAATGCAAAGTAGAGTTTAGAAACTCCAGTACATGCCCTAAGTAATAATAGTTCACACTGAGGATCATCAAGCATAGCAACCTTATCCACAAGTGCAATGGTCTTGGTCACCCTCTGCATCACAAGATCACCACTAAAACCGGAATCGGAACTAGCAGGACCACCAAGCAACTTAACACCACGCAAAGGTCGAGCAATATTAGGCGGAAAAACACCTACAAGCTTGCTTCGAGGGTCTTCTGTAGGCCAGCAAACTTCAGTTTTTTCCACATTAAGGTGTAACTCAAAACGAGGTCCTTCTTCCATAATCAACTGCAGAACCTTCCCATCATTATTATTATTATTGTTGTTGTTGTTGCTGTTGTTGTTGTTGTTGTTGGTTATTTGTTATTATCATTATAATTGTTGTTGGTTGTTTATCATTATTATTAATTATTATTATTATCATTATTATTATTATTATTATTATTATTATTATTATTGAGTGAGAAGTATCTCAAGTGGTTAGAGCTCCCTTACAGTTGTAAGAGATATTGAGATCGATTCTCATCATCTGCCATTGTGGCTCTCTAAAAAAATATTGAGTAATAGTTTTCTACTTAGAGCAAAGTAGTTGCCTGCTCAAAAGAACATGGGTATAGTAGGAGGTTCTCAACTAAAACCAATTGGTAATAATAATGGATGGGAATATCTATCTTAACTTATGAAGTGATATTTTTATTTCCACTTTCTTCAATATGAGACGACTCATATGTGACTACAAGTGGATGGTTAACTAAAAGATTTAACATGTATTCATCCCAAATAGGTGAATTGTATGAGATGAATAACAACTTTTTAATAAATATTAATTAATATTAACTGACCATTTAGTAGGCCAAGACTAATAATAAAACAATTAAAGGTACTAATTACACTATACTACTTCATTTTTGCCACCAATAATGCGTCCCACAATTATAAATGATCACCTTATGACTTCCCAAATCATGCATACATGCACTACTATTTTACTCCTCAACCTACACCAATACACCATCCATCATACCTTATTTTCTCAAAGAATTGGGAAAATCAACAAAGAAAAACATTAAGCTACCTAAGAGTGAAAAAATGGAGGGAGAAGCAAAGACATCAATACCACCTCATGTACTAGTATTCCCATTTCCTATACAAGGCCACATAAACCCAATGCTCCAATTCTCAAAACGATTAGCTTCCAAAGGCCTTAAAGTCACCTTAGTCACAACCCAATCACTATCCAAATTACTCCCTCCTCAGTCTGAGTCCAGTCTGATCCAAATCCGATTCATTTATGATGGCCTCAAAGAGGGCGAAAAACTTGATCATGAGGGCTACTTAGAGCTTTTCCAAAGAGTAGTCCCTATAAGCCTAGCTAACCTTATTGAAGAGTACAAAGTAACAAGCCACCCTGTGAAGTTCATAGTGTATGATTGTTTAATCACTTGGGTCTTAGACTTGGCCCGGACGGTTGGGATCGACGGGGCCCCGTTTTTCACTCAATCAGCAACCGTTCATTCCATACATTACCATGTATATGAAGGAGCATTAAAGTTTCCGTTTAAAAGTTCATTGATTTCAATGCCTTCAATACCTTTGTTAAAGGTTGATGAAATGCCTTCTTTGATAGTTAATCCTGGGATATATCCTTCTCTTAATGACCTTAATATCAATCAATCTTTGAACTTCCACAAGGCTAGTTTGTTGTTCTTCAATACTTTTGACAATTTGGAATCTCAGGTAATTTTTATTTTTAAAAAAACTTTTATGTTTTACTTGTATTATTTTATGACTAAGTTGCCTAAAGTTTTTATATAAATATGTTTGTTAATTGGAAGCTTTTGATGTAGTTTATACTAAAGTAGTTTCAACCACATGAATCACATCAATAGATGATAAATTTGTCTTGTTTCAATATATGGCAATGGTTTATTTATTTATTTTAATAATTTTAATAAAGTACTTTCTCCGTTTTTTTAGTTAACATCATTTGACTTTTGCACTATCAACTATACTTAGATTAGTTTTTGTGATTTATAGACTACGATAAACATATGAAATCTTGTTTGAATCGTCTCAATGTATATTTTATTAAATTTCAATTTTTTTTAATACAATATCAATAATTAGAGACATTAATTATTAAAATAGTACGTTGACAAACATGATAATAGAAAGGTGTCAACTAAACAAACGAAGGTAGTATAACAATAACAAATACATTTAATAATATGTTCAATGATTGTTAAAATGTCTGCATTGTGGGATGCAAATAATTGGACTGTCCGGTTATGGATTGATTTGGATTTGTTTCGTGATTTTAAATATTCATTCTTCTGTTTTTTTTATTAGTAGCAACACACACTTTTTCACAATATCTAAGAAAAGTAGAGTTCGCATGATTTAATATACTTTAAAATATGGCGAGAGGTTATTATTAGGAGTATAATTTAGTGGGACATATGCTTTAAATAAGGAAAATAGTATAAATTTTTCCCAAAATAACTTTCCAATTATAGTGTGCTTCAAATATTGTGACATTTTCATTTTAGGAAAGTATTGCAAGTATTAAGAAATGGAGGAAATATAATATAAATTACATGATGCATAAAACTTATCCATAATTCATTTCTAACTAATAAGGTCTTGTTTTAGTGTAAATGTTTTTAAGGAAGATGATTTTTTAATTTTTCTTTTTTTCCTATTTTTTTTATTTGGTATATGAAGGGTAGAAAACAATTTCCGTAGAAAATTGCATCTATAATGATGAAAAAAAACAATTCTTCATAAAACAAGGGAAGTTCCATTTTTCCTCCATCCCTTTACCTTCTGTTTCGGTATGAAAACAATAGGACCTTCGACAGACCCTTTTCGAAGGGGGAAGATTGGTCTCGGTCCTAACTGCGGCTGGCCGAGGGATTCCTGTACAATAAACACACGTAAACTGGCCTCGGGGGATTGAGCCGAGGAAGGCCCCTTCCGATGCCGAAGTCAGTAATGTATTTAGTGGTAAAGCTGTGCAAGAATATTAGTTGTTTGAGGCTTTAAGAGTAAAAGATTATCAAGAGTGAATGAATTGAGGTCCTGAATTAGATGTCCCTTACTTTGACTTATTTGGAGGCTTTTATACCTTGACTTGATGGATAAGCGAGCCGCAAATTAGATGGACTTTCCAAGCTGACTGGGCTTGACTGACTTGGCATTGACTTTGGAGAGTTGAACCTTGCTTTGGGCTTCAAATTGTATCATATGTGGACCGGCCCAATTGAGGTGAAATTGGACCCAAACAACTTGCCCCCCAGACCCGATTCGGAAGAATGACAGGTCGGGTTTTGACTTGAAAAATTGGAGGAAAGTAAATGATGATAATTTGAATTTGAGTTTGGGGAGTTATTGAGGCTAATAACTGTTATTTTTGGAGTAATGGGGAATATGAATGGATTAGTGGGTAGTTAATCAGAGAGGAATATGAACGGCTGATAATTGAAGTGGGATTAGTGGGGTTTTTAGTGGCGCTGACTCCCGAAATTCTTGTTTCTGGAAGATATTTAAGTCACTCGTGCCACGATCCTTTTTCACTTAATATCTTTTGCGCATTCACACCCGTTTTTTCTCTGATTTTTGCCCTTAACCTGAATTCTTTCCCTGCCTGTACCTAACAATTCGAAGCTTTAAAGTAGAATTGTTGCCCCGAACTTAAAGATCGTTAAATTCTGCACTTGATATAGGTAATTTTCTTTGAAATTTCTTTGGTTTTCTTTGCTATTTCGAATACCCGTCTTTTTCTCGATTTTTCGATTTCTCGCACTTCCTTTGCTAAAAAATGGCTGGTGGCCGAGGAAAAAGGCCCATTGGATCCGAACCAATTGTTGTGGAAGAGGAGGATAAGGTGCCGCAATTGCTTCCGAGGCGGAATTGACCTTTGGCAATGATGCCATTTCTCGGCGCCCAGAATCCTAATGCCAGGGTTGGGGCTGCTGCTGTCCAAAGGGGGGCTGCGCTGAGGGTTGTGCCTATTTCCAGCATGCCCTCGAAGGACTCAGAATGAGCCAGCACCTCTGGCCGAGGTGCGACCTTGGCCTTTGGGCTGTTGACTCCCGAGGAAAGAGAGTGGACTGATGTCCAGGAGAATAAGGGCATAATGACGGCTGCCCCTTATTCATGGTGGATCGAAAACGGCGCCAAGTATTGCTTTGTCGAACAACTTGAGGTGATCTACGGCATAATGGAGGAGGACGGGTATTGGTGCCGAATGCCCTCTGCCGAAGAAAGAATTCATCGTCCCCTGCCTGGATATATTGGGGTTTACACTCGGCAATTGCAGTACGAGATTCGGTTTCTCATCCACCCCTTTGTTGTGAAGCTGCTGAACGGGTACAAAATTTCTTTGGTTAAGTTGACTCCCGTGAGCATCCGAAGGATAATGACCTATCTCTAGGTCTGCTTATTTTACGGGTTGGAGCCGAGCGTGCATTGCTTTTTCTACACGCACAAGCTGATGCCGAACACCCAGTCCAATAAATGGCATGGCCCTGGCTGGTGGCAAATTGAGGACAAAAGGGGGTTCCTTTCGACTTATCTGAATGATACTTCGGACAAGGATTGGAGAGGGAAGTGGATCTGGATTTGGGCACCATCAGACGAGGATCATCCGAACTATTTCGGTGGCCCCCGATACTTAAGGAAGCCAGATCCTAAAATGTTCAGTATCGGTCTTGATGTGTTCACTGATGCTGATCACAAGCAAATGGAGCTCTTTGGCCGAAGCCACATGCCCGGCGCCACATGTCGAATGGCGAATGTGCCAACCATCTTGCTGCCTTGCTGCCACTACATCTTCCAAGAGAAGATGCTTGCTATTGTCAGCCTCAGCCGAAAGTACCAAGGCGATAAGGGATTCGGCTGGGGCCAAAACTTTGTTATTTTTGATTATAATCTGCTTTTTGACACTTAACTCTTTTGGTCAAGCTAATCTTTTCTTTCTCGACTTTTTAAGAGCTGTGCGAGAAAAACTCAGGCGTTGATTACGAAGTGCTCGGGATCAGCCAGGAAAGGAGTTCGATCACAAACACCCCGAAGATTACTGATTCGAAGGACCGAGCCTTTTCTCTGCATCCAAGGAGACTTCAAATAGTCAACACTCTTGAGTACCAGACACAGAAGCCCTGGTTCGAGAAGATCGACCCCTTTTTTCCTTCACTCTATCGAAGAAGACGCAGCTGCAACTATCGTCGCTGCGGTCTCTCGAAGCGGAGCTGAGCCTTCTACCTCAACTACTGGGCCGAGGGTAGAAGTAGCCAAAGAGGAAGAAGATTCTAAAGACGAGTGTCTGCTGAAGACTACGGTGAGACTTCAAGACTTGTCTGAATTTATTCTCTCTCTCTCTCTCTCTCTCTTTTATTTATTTTTATTTTTTTCTCCTTGCCTTGCTCCTTCTACTTAGCTTTGAATTTTTTCAAAATTTTCTAAGTACTAAGCTTCGGCTTGGAGTTTTTTTTTTTATTTTTTATTTTTTTTTATTTTATATACATACATACATATATATATATATATATATATATATATATATATATATATATATATATAAATTTTATAAATTTTTTAATTTTTTTTATGCTTATACTGCTCTTTGCCCCCCTATTCCTTCTGTTGCAGTCTGACGAAGAAGAAGAGAATAGAGGAGAGCCAGCTGAAGCAAATCCTTCTCCTGAAAGTTCATCAGACGAAGGGATGGGGCCTGAAGAGAAAGAGGCAAGTTGTTTTGCCTGGGCGATTCCGGGCTACCCCTCTTCCAGCTAAGAAGCCTCGTCTTGAGGAGGACAAGCCGGAGGAGCAAAAAGAGATGACTCCTCCTCCCCCAGAAGTCCGTGCCGAGGTTGATGCACTGTTCGTCAATTTAGGACGAAGTGCAGGTTTTGAGTGGAGATGATCCGAAGGAGGCCGAGGTAGAAGAGAAAGCTGAGGAAGCCAGAAATACTAAAGTGCCTTCTACCTCGGCTGCTGAGTCCTTCAAGACTTTCCAGTCCGCCGAGATGGGGTTCGGCTCTGTCCCATTGGTTCTGTACCTGTGCATGCTCAAAACATTTTTCAATCCAAACGAAGCTCGGCGATGGAGTACTTTGGCAACCTCTCCATCATGTCTGAGCCTGAAAGGGTTAGAGCTTGGACTGTCGGGGCTGCCTCTGGAGCATCGGAGCCACTAGTTAGGGTGCCAGACCCCTTTGCCGAGAACCAAAGGCTGTTGATGCAGGTGAACCTTGCTATACTTAAGCTTTTTACTTAAGTTTTTCTAGCTTTTTTTCCTTTCCCATTTTCTTGGCTCTTTTTACTTAATTATTGAGCTTTGGCTCGGGAATTTTTTGATGCTTTTTACTTTAGCTGATCCCTTCTCCTTATCTTTGCATGTCATTCATAACCACTTTCCGGCTGTGGAGATGAACGTCGAACTGAGAGCAAAGGCTGATAAGGCTGAAGAGGCTGAGTGCCGGGCTAGGATCACTGAGCTGAAGAGACTGGATGCCGAAGAAGCTGCTTCTGCCATGAGGGCCGAGATAGATTCTATGAACTTTAATTTTCGCACCTTCTGCGGAGACTTAGAACGGACCATTTTTCCATGGTTGGACGACGGTTATGCGCTGATCCAGGAATATGGGGCTAAAGGTATTTCTGACTTCAAGGCTCGAATTGAGCAAAGGGTGCAGAGAGAAATTGAAAATCGGCGCTTAATGGTCGAAGACTTCAGGGGACAGACTGCTCGAGCTAAGGCCGAGGCCAAGGAGAAGTAATCTGAGTTGGAGGCCGAGAATCAACGGCTAAGGGATGAGCTGAAGGGC